AATTGAACCTTTGAAATCAGTAGCTCTGTAATGTTTCGAAGCAAGATGAGAAGTAGATCATTTTGGCTTCTTTAGGCTTTTTGACATCTATGCAACTGCAGCACTGACCTTTGTAGGGTTACATTAAATGGATCACGTGATTTAAACAGGCTCAGTTCATCTGGAGGTGCCATACAGGAAGGCAGACTCTGTTTGGTGTTGTTTCTGGAGGAAGGACTTGTTTCTGGGTATGGTGTGACCATACCTTCATATTCAGGCACTTTGTATGATTATACAGTGTTTCCTGCTGTCAGTATGTCATGGAGCAAGGCAGTTGGTTAGTTACAGGATTAGTTATTCCCCCAGAGAGAAGCAGAAGTTAGGCAAACTGGGTGCCTGGGACAAGCTTCCTTGAAGAAAAGAGGGTGTAACGTCCCTGATAGATAAGATAGATTCCTCTCCTATATATATTGACTTGATTTCAGATGACTCTAATAGTGGCAATTCAAAGAAAAAGACAGTTGTTTGCAAAAGAGTGCAGATGCCTTGTATCATTGTATTTTAATGCTTTTCTTTGTCCACCTGCACTCTCATTGTTGCCCTTCTGGAATTTCCTTAGTTTTCTTTTCATTAATTTCCTTATCCACTACCTAGCACAGGACTTTACAAACTAGAGATTCTTAATCATTTATTGAATGGACAGGTTCGTGTCTGAAACAAAATAGTTATGGCTACATCTATCCCTTAACTGATTGAGCTTTAGTTTTCTTATCTGTGAAATGGGGATAACATTTACCTGCCTTATCTCCCTCCTAGCCTTGTTACGAGTTTGAAAAGCACATCAGAGGGCTTTTGCAATTTGTGAAGTGTGATACAGATATAAAGGCTTATTAAATGACTTGGAACGTTTGATAGAAATATTGCTGGCCCAGACACTGTTAGAAATGTTCTTAGACATTGACACTCCTATTTTTTTCACATGTGCTTTTCAAAAAGCTGTTTTCTCCTGATTGGTGTGGGAGATTATGGGAAATTTTAAATCTTCCAACCTACATACTACTGTTAGCACTTGACTAATTAAGGACATCCTCAGACCAAAATAATCCTTTATGCAATTTTGGTCCCAAAGCCTGCACTCTCACAAACCTGATTCACAAGCCAAGCTGCTTGGCTTGATGCCTGCAAAACTTGTACTGGAGGACTTGGCAGTCTGCTTTGGAACTGCATGGAGCAAAAACAGGGCCTTCTCATCAAATTGTGTATTGGAGACTGTTCTTACTCCACCCACCAGAATGGTGTCTCACCAAGGAAACAAAAGCAGGACCCGTGTCTTAGACACCTGCTCTCAGGCCTGGGATCCCGATGGTCACATAGTCTGAAAGCAGCATTCTACCTGCAGCTCTCTTCCATCAGGACAGGATATTTGGCTAAATATGCCTCATTCTGAGAGCAGGGGTAGAGTTTATATATGTGCAATGCTGTTGTCTTTTCGGGATCAAGTCCCTGGTATGGGGAGGTATTCCCAGAAAGGGAAAAATACATACATACACACACACATATATATGTGTGCATGTGTATATATATATTCTATAGATTTTTTCTTTACGTATGTTTGAGATATATCCTAATAATTAGATGGATTTCCTTGCTACCTACTCTAAAACAAATGCTTTCTTGCTTAAATACCTAACACTATGCCTTTTCCTATAATCCTTTTTTTCTCTCCCCTAACCCCTTTTTTGAGACAGAGCCTCGTTCTGTCGCATGCTCTCTGCTCACTGCAACCTCTGCCTCCCGGGTTCAAGCAATTCTCCTGCCTCAGCCTCCCAAGTAGCTGGTATTACAGGCATGTGCCACCACGCCCGGCTAATTTCTTTGTATTTTTAGTAGAGAATGGTTTCACCATGTTGACCAGGCTGGTCTCGAACTCCTGACCTCAGGTGATCTGCCTGCCTTGGCCTCCCAAAGTGCTGGGATTACAGGCATGAGCCACTGCACCCGGCTCTTTTCCTTTAGTTCTGTACAAAGGGGCAAGTTTGTGGAAGAGAGACTGAAATGCCCAGGGAAAAGTACCTAGATTTCACAGATTCATTTCTTTTTTGGTGATGAACAAGGCACTCTTGCTATCACAAATTATCTCATTACCTGATTCTTGTATCTTAGGGAAGATTTTGGTTATTTTTGAAAAATGCTTTACTCTGTGGTAAGAATATAACTGCAATTTCTAAAGGACTATAATTATTAGAAAGTCTGATCTGAAGACATGAGAATGAAAAAATAATAATAAAAATCAAGAAACGAGAGTGAATCAGCTGTTACTTCTCAGTTTGTTTCCCACCTGCTAGTGAAAAATGCCATTCTCAATCCACTTTAGAATTGGATCAACTTAAAAAATATATACGTCTTTTGGGTTTATGAAGTCTGTATCAAGTTGGATCATGCTATGCAGTGAAAGGAAATGAAGAAAGATGTGAATTTTTCTGCTTTTAATTTTTCCATTTGGTTTTTGTGCAAGTCTGCAGAAAACAGACTTCATCCAATTTCTAGCAAGAAAACAATGTCCTCTAAAGATACCCAAAGATTGAAATTTCCCTGTTGTCACATTTCATGTATGGGGCAGAAATCTGTGGCATTGGTTGTACATATGTCCTTACACAATTGGAACACATTTGCGTAAAAATTTTCTGCCCTTTAATCTGGGATTGGTATTTCACATTAAAGTCTTAATTATTCAGGCATTTCTCAGCTTTCATGTTTGAACTCTTTACTTCCTTTAATGACTTTTGCTTTTCCTTTTCCAAATCTTGGTCTGTGAACTTGGAGTGTGACCCTGCCTTTTTCATTGTTTTGCCCCCACTGAACCTCAACTTTAAAAATACACATTGTGGTTAAGAGCTTTGACTTAACTGAACTGGTTCAAATCCTGATGCCACCATTACTGGCTGTGACATGTAGTGGACAAATTAAATAACTTGTGGAGGCTTAGTTTTCTCATCCGCAAACTGGGGGTAACAATCGTCATCAGCACTGAATTGGAGAATGTGTGTAAATCACCTGCATTAGGGCCTGCGTGACCCAACACTGGTGATTGGTAGATGGTAGCAGTTGGTATTAGCAAATGTTATCTGTCTTTCGTCATCTTTGGACATCTTTTCTCAGCCAAGGGCTGAATTGGCTCTCTGGGATAATGGTTTTGTTCCCAGAGAGTAGTAAGAGTGAATGTGAAATGTATTTACACGTAACTAAGTGATATTTTCTTTTTTTTTTTTTTTGAGACGGAGTCTCGCTCTGTAGCCCAGGCTGGAGTGCAGTGGCATGATCTCGGCTCACTGCAACCTCCGCCTCCCGGGTCCCAGTTCAAGCAATTTTCCTGCCTTAGCCTCCTGAGTAGCTGGGATTACAGGCACACACCACCATGCCCAGCTAATTTTTGTATTTTTAGTAGAGGCAGGGTTTCACCATATTGGCCAGGCTGGTCTTGAAGTCCTGACATGCTGATCCGCCCGCCTTGGCCTCCCAAAGTCCTGGGATTACAGGCGTGAGCCCGGCCCTAGGTTATATTTTCTAGCTACTCATTTTGCACCATATTTTTTTTTCTTTTTCTTTTCTTTTGTTTTGAGATGGAGTCTTGCCCTGTCACCTAGGCTGGAGTACAATGGCGTGATCTCAGCTCACTGCAACCTCCACCCCCTGGGTTCAATCAGTTCTCATGCCTCAGCCTTCCGAGTAGCTGGGATTACAGGTGTCTGTCACCATGACTGGCTAATTTATTTTTTCTTTTCCTTTTTTGTACTTTTAGTAGAGACAGGGTTTCACCATGTTGGCCACACTGGTCTCGAACTCCTGATCCCAAGTGTTCCACCTGCCTCATCCTCCGAAAGTGCTGGGATTATAGGCGTGAGCCACCGCCCCCAGGCCTATATATTTTTTTTCTGTTAGACTTTTAGTACCTTCGGCTAGGTGGCCTCACCTAGCCAGGGATTACAGGCTCACAAGGCCTGTAATCCCAGCACTTTGGGAGGCCGAGGCGTGTGCATCACCTGAGGTCATGAGTTCAAAACCAGTCTGGCCAATATGATGAAACCCTGTCTCTACTAAAAATACAAAAATTAGCCGGGTGTGGTGGTGGGCACCTATAATCCCAGCTACTTGGAAGGCTGAGGCAGGAGAATTGCTTGAGCCCGGGAGGCGGAGGCAGTGAGCAGAGACAGTGCCACTGCACTTCAGCCTGGGTGACAGAGCAAGGCTCTGTCTCCAAAAAAAAAGTGTAATATCAACAAATAGTGCCTGCACATGTTAAAATTTAATGTTTATACCTAATATGCTCTATAGGATGACTTGCTGGTTTTTGAGCAAAGGAACCAGATAGAAGAAAAATTTAATCTTGGGCCGGGCATAGTGGCTGCAATCCCAGTACTTTGGGAGGCCGAGGTGGGTGGATCATGAGGTCAGCAATTCAAGACCAACCTGACCAACATGGTGAAATCCCTTTCTTTACTAAAAATACACAAAAAATTAGCCGGGCATGGTGGCGTGCACCTGTAATCCTAGGTACTCAGAGGCTGAGGCAGGAGAATGTCTTGAACCCGGGAGGTGGAGGTTGCAGTGAGCCGAGATTGCACCAGTGCACTCCAGCCTGGGCGACAGAGCGAGACTCCATCTCAAAAAAAAAGAAAAAAGAAAAGTTTAATCTTGAATTCTAGATTTACCTACAAATATTAGTTTTTCTAAGGGTAAAATAAATAAATAAATATATATATAATATATAATATATATATGTATGTACGTATATTTAAAACAATACTACTGAAACTTGAATTGGGAATGACAGTTTCAGACCCAAAACTAGGGACCTGACCCGCTAATGAGGGGATAAGTTGAGTGAAAGAAAATGACAACTGTTTACAGATTTTGGCAACATTTAAACCAAGGCCCTTCTCCTTATGCACAACAACTGTTTTAACAGCTGCTTTTTTTTTCTCCCCCCCACCCGCCCCCCATCTTGGAAATCCTTGTATCAGGTTTTTGAGTCATGATGCAAGAATCTGGGACTGAGACAAAAAGTAACGGTTCAGCCATCCAGAATGGGTCGGGCGGCAGCAACCACTTACTAGAGTGCAGCGGTCTTCGGGAGGGGCGGTCCAACGGAGAGACGCCAGCGGTGGACATCGGGGCAGCTGACCTCGCCCACGCCCAGCAGCAGCAGCAACAGGTACCGGGGCTTTGGAGTCCTGGGAGGTGGAGGGTGGTGGGTGCGAATTTTACCGCTGAATTTTACGTTTAATGACGATCTCGTGATCAGCGTTTTGTGCTCACCTGTCTGCCAATCTGTCATTCTGTCAGTGGCATCTCATAAACCATCGGCCCTCTAGGGGTCCCAGCAGTTGGCTTAAGAGACTAATTTTCAAGCCCTTGGGAGTTGGAAAGTCCTGCAGATCCCCTTGTGGGGAACAGTTGCTGAGACGAAGATTGAGTGGACCTGTGTCAGCCTAACCTTTCCCTATTTTGAATAAAATTATTCTTTGGAGAAATGGTTCCCACTGCTTTCATGCAAAAATAAAAATTAAACGAAAAACAGGCTTAAGCCTGTGAAGAAGGAAATAAGAGCTAAGGAATAAAAGAGAGAAAAAGAGTAGGTGAGTAAGGAGAGTTGAAATAAATACATAGAAATACAGGCAGAAATGCTGAGATAACAGCCAAAACATGTAGAACACGGGCATCACTGTAGGAAGCTGCTTTCCTCTACCTGTAGGATTTGGGGGTTTAGGGTATTTACATATGTTCCCTGTATTCATGCAGCAGTGGGTTTGTGGCTAAGTCTTACTGCTTTGAGTTATCTCTTATTGGTGCCTCCCCAAAATGTACGTAAGTTGGGGTATACTCATTCCTGTTATACTTTTTACAGGTATGGAACTGGGTACCTATGAGTGACTGGTAAAATATTTCCGGATGGTACAGGCGACCCAAGAAATGGTGTTTTGTTCTCAAAGTGTTGATAAAAATTCAAATAAGTAAACGACATTTGCTTGAAGACTGGCTTTGGTTTTCTAGCCTGTCTCGGAATCAGGAAATATTATTAGGATTTGTTAATGATAATAGATGGTTTATGACCTGTTTTGTTCTCGATTTACTTATTCAAAACATAGTTATGATGCCGCTCAGAAACAGGTGAATTAAAAAGAATGAAGTATCTTTGGGCCTTTCTGAAAGCTACAGTAACTTCTGTGGGGAGGAAGAAGATAGGGACAAAGTGCTTCTCAAACCATTTTCTTGCAATCTGTGTCAGAGAAGCTAAGCTTATGTTTGGGATGCAACTTTGAGACAAGCTCTAAACCATGTTTATTTTCTCCTTGCAAAGAGTTGAGTAAGGAATGATTCGGTTGTTAGCTCCTTACGAGGTGGTGGAACCAACATGAGACTGTGGAACCTGTTGGGAGAAAGATGCAACAAAGTGAAAGAAAGGAAAAGTAACAGACCAGCAAAAGTCTTAATTCAGAGGACTTCCTGCAAGTGATTTGATCTTTCTTTCATTGGCAGCCCAAACCCATTTGTGCCTGCACCACGAGCTCACTTCAGACGGAATTTGTGATGTTTGTTGTGTATAAACTTTGTGTATTTAAGTTAGTGCAGATGGCCAAATTCCAACCAGTGAGGTTGTTAGCAAAACCGCGCAGTAGATAGTAAAAGGGTCTCCGTGTATTTGTGCTAGTACATGTTCATGTGATGTTCTCAGCCATTTTTTTCAGAATAAATAGTTAATGTTTTTGAATGACATCTTCTATGCCCTTACCAGACGAGTGTCAAGATTGACTATTTCTTTATGAAGCACTTGAGCACTTGAGACGGGGCTACTGACTGATGTGGTGATACTAAATAATTAGTATTTAGATTACATTAATTAAATAAATAGGAAATTAACTTTTGATTTTTATTTGAGGAGCTAAAAATCATTCAGGATCTCCAAAAAACTTTACATATAAACCATCAAAACATGTGGTTTACATATAAACCCAAAACACGCATGCGTGCACACACACAACAGCAATAACAAATTGGCTACATAGAATAAAATTATAAAAGCCTATTTCACCAACATCTTCCTTAAAAAGTATCAGTTGCAAATGTATTTATCCACATCTTCCTTTGGCCGTGACCACTTTGGAAAATTTATTGTTACTGGTTATTGATAAAAAGGTCAAGAAATGTTTTATGATTAGACTTTTATACTGTTTTTAAATGTTTTTATGACAGTTTTTTCTCCGTATGCTGTTGACACGTTTTGGGAAGAAACAAAGCAGTGGGGTCTATCATTGTGGCTAAAACCCCTTGTATTGTGGTTAGCAAAGCCTTTTGAGGTCTTTTAAAATATGACATTGACAGCTGTTCAACTCCCCTAAGTATATGATAAGGCTCTTAACAGGTTGTTGGGGAAAAGGGGAATCTGTAGATGAAATAAGAAAAACTACAGGACTGAAAATATTTCTACAGGACTAGAGTTATCAGAGTTTTCTTCCGGACTGAAAACTGCAACAATTAGACAGTTTGGAGAAGTGTGAGCATTCTACAATGGACTATGGTTGTTTTCATCATTTTTATTCTACAGGTTTTTACTTGAAGTGAGAATACCAGCAGTGAGAAAATCACAGCCATGCTGAATTCATTACTGCGGTAGTCACACAAAACCACGGATAAAATTTCAATAACTGCAGGCCACAGTTGAGTAAACAGTTGCACTGAAATTTAATTCCTGTTGACTTTTCCCCCATTCCTCGCCAGGGGCACATTCAGATTCCGTAGTACAAAGACAACAGGGGTTACAGCTTTGATTAATGTAGGACAGTGGAAGAGAATTAGAACTGTAAAATATGTTAGAAGTCCATGGAACACGAAGATCTGGCTTAAAAGGGCCTGGCATAAAAACGAGTTAATTATGCTGTGTATTATGTTGAATGTTGGAGGATTTTCAGTTGCACCAATACCATCATTGAGGATATGGGGAGAGTTTTTACTTAGTGCCAGGATTTAAAATAAATAAATGCAAACCTTTCCATGTTTGCTCCATATTATCAAAGATAATTACAAATTACAGCAAATGCCCTTTTCAGGATGGGAGGGCCCTGACAAAGATTCACTATGGAGTGCACTAGTTCCATAGTGAGTTTTGTTTGTAGGTTGACTTATTTATGTTCAAATGGCATTGTCATTTCTAAAAATTAGTTAGTTGACAACCTAGAGAAATGGGGCAAATCTGGCTTTTCCATCTTCTTTTGAAAAATTAGAATATCTGGTAACCTTGGGCTGATAGTCCCACAAGGGCAACAATTGTTGGGAGATGAATTGCTATTGAAGACAGGGAGCCCTCCAGCCTGCTCTCATTCCCACCAGCAGCATTGCTCATTTATGCCTCTAGGTAGTGGAGTTGGCAATTCTGGGCTGGAAGGTAGACTCATCACTCAGAAGCCATCAGCCCAAGAGAGGTGCTGCCATTAGCTGGTAGAGCCTGCCAACACACTCACAAACTGTCTTCCTTCCTCAAAACTAAATGTATTATCTCTGTAATGTTTCAACTCTATTTATGTCTGGGCCATGAAACTATTATAACAATAGTTTTCTAATAATATAATTTGATAGAGTTTCTGAACATTTTCTTTTATCCATTGAGTAATTCTTTACCCGATACCATAACTGCTTTTTATTTCCTATTATGCCTGCACCATTTCTATGTCTGTAAAAGTTGTATTGGATGTGCACTACTCCATTATGAAACTCAGCAACAAATACTATTAGCAATTACTAAAGTTTTTTTTTTATCTTAAAGAAAGGATTTTAAAATGTCCAGAACAATTTCATAAACTGTGTGGATTAATGCATTTTAAAAGTCTTGAATTTTAGAAAGCAGAATTTTATTTCCATATTGCTGCAAATGAGAGCTGTTTCAGATAAGCATATTACATAGAGCATAATGTTTAGAAGTTTCTCCATATACAGCATATGCTGTCAGGTCAATTAACAGAATGCATTCTAGAAAATGTTTATTCAATAAAAATGAATAGCTGTTAAATAAAACAGCTATTTCTTCACAACATTCCATTTAATGATGAGGTTTTTGTGGGGTTTCTTTCTTTCCTTTTTTTTTTGGTACCACCTGGCAGTTTTATTGTCTGCAAGTCAGTATAGAGAAAGCTTTGGTTGCTGCAGTTTTGAGGTGTGGCTATCATTTTATATGAAGAGAGCAGTTTAGAGGGAATCTGTGAGAAAAAACCTAAGACATGCTGTATTTGGAATTTGAACATGTATTATTTAGAGAGTGTGGATAAGCAAAGTGTTTACTTCCCGTGGCTTCTTTCTTTGACATCTGGTTTAAGGTGTTGGGTCTTGTGGCCCAGAAGACTGTGTATGTTTTAAGTTAACAATGTAAAAGAAGGAGAGAAAATGTGAAATGACTAGTAAGGAGGTGGGAACGGTAGATAGGAAATTCTCTTGAAAAAGAAGAAGGGGAGTAAAGAGGACCCATCAGATTGAATTTTTCCAATGAGCCATTGAAGGAGGTCAAAGATTAGTCACTTCCCAGAACACAAGAAGATCAGAGAAATGGGTGGGACTCAGGCAAAGAGTCTAGTTATGTACATTCAAAGGGATGTAGAGGTCAGCTGTGGTGGCTCACACCTGTAATCCCAGCACTTTGGGAGGCTGGGGCGGGCTGATCACTTGAGGCCAGGAGTTGGAGACCAACCTGGCCAACATGGCAAAACCCTGTCTCTACTAAAAACAGAAACATTAACTGGGCATGGTGGTGCACGACTGTAGCCCCAGCTGCTCAGGAGGATGAGGCAGGAGAATCACTTGAACCTGGGAGGCAGAGGTTGCAGTGAGCCAAGATTGCGCCACTGGGCTCCAGCCTGGGCGACAAAGTAAGAGTCTGTCTCAAAATAAGTAAATAAATAGACAACAACAACAAAACAAAGGGGATGTAGAAAATACAGTACCGGAGGAACCTGGGAGAATCAGGAATTGAAATCCCAGGGTCCTCTGAACATGGGAAATGGTAGTAGAGGGAGCATAGTGTCAGTGTTTTAAGTTTAACTTTTTTTGTTTCAGCATAAATAAATACACAAGCAGGCTGCATGCAGTGTCTCATGCCTGTAATCCCACCATTTTGGGAGGGCAAGGAAGGCAGATTGCTTGAGCTCAGGAGTTTGAGACTAGCCTGGG